TGTAATTGATAGGGCGCGTGCAGGTGGTAAAGCCTGACAATATGCAAATGCACTCGGTTCCGTCGCATCTTTCCTATTGTCTGAAGGCACACCTTTTTGCAAAGAGCACACAGAAAGTAAATTCATTGCAGTCGCAGAGACGATAAGCACATAAATGCGCATTTGATTGAAATTCTTTAACTGGCACACTTTAGCGGCGGAATTCATCATGTCGATCGATAATGCAACTTTGAAAATAAAAATACCCCATTTAAGGCCAATCATGAATTGGAGTCGCATATGTGCCACCAGACCCCTTTATTACAAAGACGCCGAAGCATAAAGAAGGATCCAGTACCTTATAACCGACCAAATCTAACCCTGTGTTTGAATGATCTCTTTCACTTTCAAGCATTTTGAGGCCGAGCAATTCTGCGGACAACCAAGGGCAGAAGCGGGAAGACCTGCTGTGTAAACTTCGGAGTTTAATTATCCATTTTGGAAACCATTGAATTCAATACTCCGATTTGGCGCAAAATTTCCGGTGCAAAACAGTGCATAAAGTGCTAGCTATTTTTTTTACAAGCCATCCATTTCGATAATGATTCGGAAGCTTCTATTTCTCATAGCTTTGATTGCTAGTCTCGTTCTCCCTTCACTGCAACTTGACAAATACTGTGAAACAGAATATAAGATGCAAACTGCACAAGCTCCATCAGATCTGCTACTTCTACCAAATTCAGTAGGGGAAAAAAATTTACTAGCTCAAAAAGCTGTACAGGATGTACCAAGCAAACAAAATCCACTGGTTCACAAAGCTGTAAAAACTTGGGAAACTCAGGAAACTCGGGAAACTTAACAAAGTTTAACAGTTGAAAAAGCTAGAGAGCCCCGAATAGATTTAGATGTTGAAAACGTTGGAGAATGTACAAACACGATTATACAAGATTTTCTAGATCAAATAAAGGCTCTAAGTGATCGATGCAAATTAGATGTTAAAATGTTCTAGATCAAATAAAGATTCTAGATGAACTAGATCTAAAAAACCCGCAAGATAAACAAACTCTAATGGGGCGAATACCTCTAGCTACTAAAAAATCAACATTTCTAGAAGAGCTAACCTTTATAATGACTTTAATAGCTACAGAAAATTCACAAAATCTATTAGTTAGCCACGTTAATGGGATTGAAAAAGATTTGCTAAATCTAAAAATTCTAACAGATCAAAAAGCTCAAGAAACTCAAGAAGCTCAAGGGATGCTATTAGAAATACTAAGCATACCATACCTATTTAATCTAAAAAATCTGATTTTAAAAGACTTTATAGCCGCTCAAAAGAATCTGGTAGACCAAGAAGTTTTAGCAGAGGAACAAGCCCTAAAAATTATAAAAGTTCTACAAGTTCAAATATCTCAAGAAGATATGCAAACTTTAGAAAATAGAAAAGCTCCAAAAGAAGATCTACCAGCTCAGAAAGCTGAAGAAGCTCGATTACTTCAAAAAGATCAATCATCTTAAGAAGCAAGAGTTCAATAAAATTACCCAGGAATAATTCTGACAATTACTCCCTGCGGCTTAGGGTTAGGTTTTACTATTCTTTATGTTGTAATAACCCGGATTATGAAGGGGAAAGTTGGGCTAAAGGGGTCTAGAGGTTAGCTTTTAGGCGGCTTTTTATCTTATAATTCGAGCGATCCTGGGTTTGGCTGATCACTAGGCTTTATGTCGGGATAACACTGTGATTATCGGGATCAGACCCTGGTTTTTGCGAAGAGCTATCAATTGATCGCCAGCCAGCAGCTTATTAAGCATAAATCAAGAGATTTTATTGGGTTTAGTAATTCAATTCAACACGGAAATACACAAGAGGAGCTAATTAGTGGGTGTGTGCTGTGGAACTAAAACACTAACTACAGGATCGGCTATTGCAATTGTAAATGTGTAAGTTAATTTGACTCGAGTGGATAAATTGGAGTTTTAAGTGAGTTAAAAGTGTGCAAGAACGAATGAAATTTTCAAAAATACTAGAAAATGGCCGATAGCCGATATTGACTTTTATGAATTTCGTGATCAATGCGTGGGGAGCATAAGC